GGGGAGCGAGAGGGGAGGGGAGGGGAGGGGAAGAGGGGAAGAGGGGAGGAGGGGAGGGGAGGGGAGGAAGATCAGGAGGAGCTTGAAGACAAGAGGAGAAAAGGTATTCTAGAATTACTGGCTTCCTCGCTCATCACGTGGCTTCTAGTGGAGTATGTGCGGTATAAGTTAATCAAGGCGTGGGATTCCGAGGAGCAGGAGTTTCTCAGCTTCTGCAAGGTGGCAGACAAGGCGGTCAACCTCTCCAGCTGACGTTGAGCCCAGGGAGGAGAAAATCTCCTGCAGGCCTCTTGCTCTAGAGATCGCCAGCTCCAGCTGTGGGGGCTCAGACATGTGCAGGTGACCCAGCTGCCCTCCAGCTTCAGCCCATGACTGGCTCAGGTCCCTCAGAGTGTCGGAAGAAGCCGTGAGGGCGCGTACTTGGCGCTGGCCTTGGCGCTGCGACGCTCCTCCTCCTCCTCTGCGACCAGCTGGTACGAGCAGGGCGCGTCAGTGCAGTCGGTGGCTGAGGAGCTGCAAGCGAAGGTGAGGACAGGTATCCGCGCTTGTGCTGAGAGTGGCTGGTAGGTGGAGCAGGAGCTCGCGGCAGAGGAGCGGGAGGAAGAGGGCTGGACTGCTGGGCTGGAGCTGCAGGCCATGGCAAATGCGTGCGGGATGCGGTTGCGGGTGATGCGGGTGGGGACAGGTGGGATGGAGCAGGAGGAAAAAGTGCCAGAGAGGGAGGAGGCACACGGGGAACAGCTTGACAAGGAAGACACACGAGGGGGTGAGGGAGAGGAGGTAGAGTTGAAGAAGGCTTTCCGTGCAGACGAGGGAAAGAGGGAGGATGTTCTGGTGCTGTGTATGAACGGGAAGCGAGTATGGGCAGCGGTGGAGGGGAGCAGGCTGGAGGAGGAGGGAGGGCTGAAGGACAAGGTGAGAGGAAGGTGAAGTTCCTTGAGACTGCTAAGAGCTTGCAGGAATGTGTTGTCGGAGAGATGATTGAGGAAGGGAGACAAGAATCGAAACTCATGGCTGCCTGCATGAAAGACCTCGTAGACAACGCGCTGGTATCTTACTTGTGCTCCTCTGCTCCTCGTCGTGTCTCTCTGCTTTCATTCATCCCTCCATCGCTCCTCATTCCTTCTCTCCTCCACCTCCTCCTTCCTTCCTCCTTCTCTTCGGCTCCTTGTAACATGCTGGCGTCAGGAAAGCTCTTTCGGGCTCAATGGCTGTCGATCGATGATGGCGATACTAGGGGAGGAGGAGGGATGAAACAAAGTCTGCGTTTCTCTTCTCCTTGTTTGCTCTTTTATTTCACTTCCTCCTCAAATCTCCTTCGCCCGTTGGGCTTGAGCCTCTCCCGCGCCAGGTCGCACACCCTACAGTACCACGACCTGTTACAGTGCAGCTTGCGCTGCAGCATCCGAACGTCTTCTTCGGTCCACTGGAAGTACGACTCGAAGAGCGTCTGATCCTCCAACACCTTACTCAGATGCTCTGCAAGCTTCACTGGAGTGAAGTTTCCCGCGTGAATGATGGAGTTTGAAGGCACATACTTGATCACGTCCTGGGTGCCATGGTAGACGGGGAGGGAGCCAACGGCCAGGGCGTTGTAGACCTTCTCGGTGACGTAGTCCGACTTGATGGTGTTCTCCATGGCGAGAGAGACTTTGTACTGCGATAGAACCTTCTCCTTCTCCGTGTGCCACTGACTCGACCCCCGCCTGCGAACAAGGTAAAAAAAAAAAGTAGAGAACAATCAGGTGCGAGAGCGAGATGGAAGAGGAGGTGGTGGTGTAGGCGAGGAGGAGGAGAGATCCGGAAATAGAAGGAACTCACCTCTGGTGGCTTTCAAGCTGCTTGTTGTTGAAACAAGTGCCGTACTGATCGATCTTGATATGCTTCATCAGCTCCGCTATGTACTGTTGGCGGTAGCTGGACCCGCAGTTGCTGATCATACCGACGATGCTGCCGGGTCTGAGGAAGGTCTGGTTGAGAAAGGCTCTCCCTGAGACCCGTCGCTCCACCATCTCGTTGACCGTCCCGCAGCTCTGAAACGTCTTGATGTCCGCGTCGAAGGAATAGGAAATTCTCACATCGTAATGTCGCATATAGTTCCGTACACGGAACAAATCGTCGTCTGCCTCAGTCAGCACGACGGCCTTGAGGGTCTTGCGCTTCTGCGCCTGCTCGATGCTCTCCATCTTGTGTCTGAAGGTCGCCTCCCGCCCTGAGTGACCCGCCACCAGCACCAGCACGTCAAAGTACTCCGAGCCCTCCCTGCTGTAGCTGAACTTGCAAACGTCCCCGCACTCCCCGTTGGCCGCTGCTGTCATCCGCTCCGAGTGTCCTCCTCCCCAGAACCTGTCCATCACCTCCTTGTCCACGAACATGATGTTGGTCTTCACGTCTCCTGCCGCCCGAGCGCCTCCGACGCCTCCCGGAGCTGAAGGAGCCCCCCCGTCCACCTGCCGTTCAACGGGGGGGCTGGGAGATGCAACGTTGGCTGTGAGCCTCGGCGCCTCCTCCGATGTCGAGCCCTGCCGGACCGAAAGGCCTTGAGGGGAAAGAGATTGTGAGCTCTTAGAAATGTCGGAGATCGCTTCGAACTGCTGCCTGAAGCCCCCGTAGATCTTCACCGTAGAGTGACCCATGCGAGCGATCAAGGTGATCCAGAAGCAGGCGAAGAAGACGCAGAAGTAGACGATTGAGCTCCTCATCTCACCTCACTTGTCCTCAGCTACCCTCCAGTCTCCTGCTAGTCGCTGCTGCCTGCGCTGTTGCCCGGAGATAAAGTGGTGGCCCAATTGCGGAAACGAGGCAAGAAACGATAGTGTTGATGCTAAATTTCAGGAGAAAGAAACTGAGGGAAAATGCCTGGATGGAAGAGAGGAGAGGAGAGGAGAGGAGAGGAGAGGAGAAGGCGAGCTGAGTCGGGGGACGGGGGGGAGGGGGGAAGCAAGAGCAGCCTAGCAGACGAGAGGAGCAGCGGGAAGGGAACAGCAAGCAAGCTGAGGCTCTGCTGTTGGCTTCGCATCACACATTAATTTATTGGTTGTAATATATTTTCAGGGCTCACGCACCCGTGAATTATATCGAAAACAGAGGGGTAGTGGCAAATGTATTCCTTGGAGATTTATGGAACTTTATGAGCGGCGGCTATAACTTAGGCTTGAACCCAATCACTGGGCCCCGGGCCCGCCGCCCTGGCACCGCCGCAGCCTCCGAGTCAGTGCCAGTGTCCGACCGGAGGCTCCGCCGGCGCCGGCCCTCCCGCGCCGCCAACCAGGGGCCCGGCCGGCCCAATGCAGAGTCTCCGGGCCACCGTGAGCCGGCATCCGACCGACCGCCCGCCCGGCGGCGGGGCCCGGGCGGCCCGGGGGCCCCCGGGCGATTAGTCGCTGCCCCTGAGAGCCGGACACTGCGGCAACAAGCCCCGGTCACGTTTCAAGTTGAACGCCGGGACCTGAGATCTGCCCCGGGCCCGGGCCCGCCCGGGGGCCCGCTGGCCAGCATCCAGGGAGTCCTGCCGACCGTCTCACTGAGGCTCCGAGTGACAGCGCGGCCTTATAACTTTGAGTGACTTGAAGAGGAGCGTTAGTGAGTCTATTCGGAAGCCTGCGATTCAAGTTTTATTGATACAGTGCCGTGACCGTCTCAACTAATAGTTCAAAAAGCAAGCGTCTACATACCACTACACTATAGTAGATGCTTGGTCTGTAAAAGTAGTAATTGCAAACACTGGCCGCGTGACTGCAGCAGCCACCCAGCTCCTTGGTCCTCCCCTTCACCGCTTCCCCTTGTGGAACACCTGCAGGATCGTCCCGAAGATCAGCTGCAGACCAATCGCATACCCCAGCACGATCAGTAGGTCCTTCCACACCGGCTTGTCCTCCATGTTGTAGAACTTCAGCACCGCCTTCCCGTCCGCAAACTGCGGGCTGTTGACAAAGTAGTCGATGTTCTCAAACTCGTTCACCATGAACGCCCTGAACACGTACGTGTGGAACGCGATGTAGTACCCCCAGATGAAGTAGTCCGGGATGTCGTCCTTGATCTTCATGAAGCCCTCGCACAACATGAAGAAGCCGTACACCGCTGCCCCCAGCGCGATCCCGATGATGTAGTGAGGCACCACCGACGCCACCACGCACATGAACGCCTCAGCTGCCATCAGCGCAAGGAAGAGGTCGAGAAGGAAGATGCCAAAGCCCGTGAGCCCCGACGGCAGCACCACCAGGATCGTACTCAGCAGGGCGATCATGAACAGCCCGGGCAATGACATGAAGAACGTCGCCAGCACATAGGCCGGCACCACATACCAGCCGTTGGCTCGCTCGCGTAGGAACACAGCTCGCTCCACGATGAAGAAGGGCAGCACCGCCACCGACATGAAGGTGAGGAACGCAGCAACAAAGAAGAGCATGGTGATGCGACTGTTGATGTCCGACGGCCCCAGCTGGAGGTTCCAAAACATGAAGCCGATGATCGCGCACAGCATGGCGTACATGATGAGGCGGACGAGGAAGATACCCGGGTTACGCGCGTTGTTGAAGAAGGCTCGGTGCGACAGAATCATCAGCTGCACCAGGAACCCGTTGGTCTTCTTGTGCGGATGGATCTCGTGCTGGATGGGAGCGGCAACTCCCGCCGCGAGCGCCATGCCCTCGGGCTGGGTCTTGAAGCCTTTCGAGAGCGCCTCGATGTCCGCGTGACCCTCGAAGTCCGTGTTGGCCAGCCTCAGGAAGAAGTCTGCCGGGTTCGACTGGCTCGGGCAGGGATACCCCATGCGCGCAAAGTAGTCCACCGTCGTGCTCGCCGTCCCGAAGTAGAGGCACTTGCCCCTAGACAGCAGGAGGAACTTGTCGAAGTTGGCCCACACCTCTGACGGAGGCTGGTGGATAGTGCACACCACCGTCGTCCCCATCTTGGCCAGGTGCGACAAGTGCTGCATGATGTTCTCTGCCGCAGCCGAGTCGAGGCCTGACGTCGGCTCGTCCAGCAGAAGGATGGAGGGGTTCCGCACCAGCTCCACCGCGATCGACAGGCGGCGGAGCTGCCCTCCGCTCAGCCCCTTGCGGAACACGTCTCCTACGATGGTGTTGTTGCACGAGTCCAGCCCCAGCACGTGCGTCACGTTCTCCGCCCGCATCCTCCGCTCCTCCCTTGTGCTCTCCGAGTGGGGGATGAGCAGGTCCGCCGCGTATGCCATCGTCTCCTTGACCGTGAAGGGCGTCTGCAGCGCGTACTCCTGCTGCACGTACGACGCCACCAAGCTGAACGTCTCGTCGCGCACCTTGCCATTGACCAGCACGTCGCCCGAGAACTTCCTGCCCTTGCGGTTGGGGTCGATCCTCCCGGCGATGGCGTCGAGCAGGTGGTCTTGCCGCCTCCCGAGGG